CGCCTTCACCTCCAACGTAGAGGAGAGTCTGCTCGCGCTGCGCTGAGTCATAAGGGTGGTCCGCCCAGACCAACGCCTCAGATAGCACCCTCTCCACGATCATCCGTTGTTTCTGATTTAGGGGGATCACTTCGATGACTAGGGATGTAAGAGAGGCACCAGTGGGATGCTGGCCAACCCGGAACTGGCGATCATCTATATCAGTGAACATATCGGAACTAGCCAGCACGAGCTGCAAGATGTTATCTTCAACCTGGACGTCGAAATCGTCAAGTGGAAGGCTGGATGTGGCAACCTCACGCTCTGTGGTTTCCTCATGATCAAGGTTGGCGAAACGTTTCAGTCGAGATTCCCATTCCTGCAAAGTAGACGATGGGACAAATTTTAGGCCGGATGTTTCGTACGCAAGAGTGCGTGAGATATCAAGTGGCTGAAGGTTTTGTAGATCTACGTTTCGAGTTTGGGTTGTCGCGCGGAGCAAAGGAGGGATCCGCCGCCCGGCTACTAGAGACTCTCGATGCCATGCTTTGCTGATGGAGTGGTAGGCTGCGATCAATGTCTCTGCATTAGTGTGTGCTGAACAGGGTCAACAATGCAGCAGATAAGAAGGACGGACCACTCCCAGTACCTGGTACGATGCTACCGTCCTCCGTGTAGCTGCCTGGCGGCAGCGATTACACGTCCTATGATACAACGACCGGCAGGGGCGTGCACATGTAGAGCACGAAAAATGTAGCGTCGAAAAGGCAGGAACAGTAGGGGAAGTTAGAGGCGGAGGTGGCCCAGTTAAAATATTACTCGTGCCTACAGTAGCTGAAAGCTGTCGGGCTCTGACCGCCCGTTGAGAAACCCTCCTGCGGCAATTGTCGCAGGACCGAAACTGTGTAGAGCGCCATGGTCTGGCGCAACCAGAGCAGAAAGAACGTTGCGCAGGAAGAGATGTCATTAGAGAAGAGATGACTTGAAACCAGCAAACGGCATCCGTTCCGAGGCGCACTGGGAGAGGAGCGACAGGAAAAAGTTGGGACCAGCGAGAAAGATCCGTGTTGATCATTCATATAGTAGAAGTCGAACACGTCACCGTGCGCATGAGTGCATAATAGTACTATCTGCAGGATGCTCAGGACAAATAAGGGTGGAATCATAATAGAAAGGCGAGAAGGCCGGAACCCCACCGACTCCAAGACTAGCGGGAACACCGGGATCCCTAGACACGGAGAAAAAGCAACAGAGGCCGAATACGAATTCGGGAAGCACAAAGCCTAAAGAGGAAGGAAAGGAAAGTAGGTGAGCAGCAATCAGAAGCGAGCGCGGAGAGACAGAGCAGCAATCGGAGGAGAGCCTGGAGAGTCGCAGCAGCAAACGAGAAGAGCGTATTGGCAGTCAATAGGAGCATTCCTTGGCACGAGAAAGCACCAATTAGCAACGAAAAAAACGAAGAGTTTGGCAGTGAGAGGCCAGCAAAGGTTGGCGGGCAGCTCGCGCAGGGTTGTAAACCCTTTCACTACGTTCCTTCGTTTCAGGGCATTGTAAACCCTTTCACTACGTTCCTTCGTTTCAGGGCAGGCCAGCAAAGGTTGGCGGGCAGCTCGCGCAGGGTTGTAAACCCTTTCACTACGTTCCTTCGTTTCAGGGCAGGCCAGCAAAGGTTGGCGGGCAGCTCGCGCAGGGTTGTAAACCCTTTCACTACGTTCCTTCGTTTCAGGGCAGGCCAGCAAAGGTTGGCGGGCAGCTCGCGCAGGGTTGTAAACCCTTTCACTACGTTCCTTCGTTTCAGGGCAGGCCAGCAAAGGTTGGCGGGCAGCTCGCGCAGGGTTGTAAACCCTTTCACTACGTTCCTTCGTTTCAGGGCAAAAAACGAAGAGTTTGGCAGTGAGAGGCCAGCAAAGGTTGGCGGGCAGCTCGCGCAGGGTTGTAAACCCTTTCACTACGTTCCTTCGTTTCAGGGCAGGCCAGCAAAGGTTGGCGGGCAGCTCGCGCAGGGTTGTAAACCCTTTCACTACGTTCCTTCGTTTCAGGGCAGGCCAGCAAAGGTTGGCGGGCAGCTCGCGCAGGGTTGTAAACCCTTTCACTACGTTCCTTCGTTTCAGGGCAGTGGGAAAAAGGCAGCAAAGGAACGCGAGCAGCTCGCGCAGGGTAGTAAACCCCTCCACTTCGTTCCTCGTTTCAGGGCATATCAAGGCTCACGCAATGTTCTTGTTTATGGTTTCCAAGTATGACGAGAAATTACGTATTACTTGAAGTTGCCGACAATGTTTTGGACAAAGGTAAAGGGATCAAGGGCAGGACTATGCCTGAGAGAGCTTATACATCCCCCCGCTTCCATGCAAGTAGAATCTCTTCGTGGCCAGATGTTTATTTGAAAGTGCAGATCCCCATAACCATTAGCGGTGAAATATTTGAGTAAGTTCAATATTTGCTCACGGATTCGATCGAGATGGCCCAGCCACGGCTCTATTCGGGGCAAAACAAAACACTGCTGATCAATGACCTCTCTCGTGGCCTTGTCTAGGACCGAGAAGCGGATCTCCAAATAACGAACTATGCAGAATGGGCAGAGGTAAGACACGAATAGGAAAATGCCGTCGCAGCTGGTGGATTCTGATAAAACGTCTGGCCCCACCCAGGAGAAGGAGGGCTGACCCTCGTAGCCAGGGAAATAGTAGCAATCGACGGTTGGCAGTACGTTTTCGGTATCGTTGGTTGGAAACGGGCCTCTCCATAATGAGACGGGCAAGGTATCATGACCAAGAGTTCGAAGGGCAGGGGACAATGTGCCTTCCGAAAAATCCCTCCGAGGGAAGTTATTGCCAAAAGGCAGAAAGTATTCTGAAGTAGAAGCCAGTGAGTATATTCAGAGTTCAAGGTAAGAAGAACAAGAGAACTGACCAGGATAAAGATCGTCTTCCATTGCTCTTGTGTTTTTGCAATCGCTACAATCATTGCTGCCAACCTTTTATCTATTATAGCACAAGGAGCCAACATTCACCCCACATGCAGTTCTAGCGTTACGTAATTTCTCTTCAAATGATATAGTGCTGTTCATTCAGTAGTAGCATAAATGAGTGTTTAAATCTGGCGCAAGAAAGATCTGTGTTTATTCACAACCGCAGACTGTCGCTGAGTGATGTCATATTTGAGCACCTGAACTGCCCTGCACCTCATACTGCTGATTGACCGTGTCTATGACACGGAGTGCCTCCCGTTTTGTTCAACATGTATCAGTGGCAATGTGTTCCGTTCGACTGTACGCTGCATTTTGATGGCTATGAAATTCGGGGTTATCTTAAGTTACTTGGTCTTGGAGTCCATGACAGTCAGTGATGCCGACTACATCAACAATAAGCGGGGCTGATGGCTCTACATACGCTATTCCCGTGCTCATCGCGAGATAAGGGAAGCCAGTGCAACGATGGAGCCGGAAACTGGATTCCAGACGGCTTGCTCTGTCCGGCCTACTTCGTGTAGTGGATTTGACTGCGATATTGAATTGGGGCGGATTCCGTGGCTTCAGTCTCTCACTGGGGCTTTATCGCTAAGGATGACCAGAAGAGGAAACCGCAGGACGATGAAAGGAGAAAACCAAAAGCTTAGAGATGCTTAGCCTGGTTTGCCCGAGTTCCGTGGTTTCGCCGGTTACAAACTCTCTATGCTCACAGTCTCGCTTTAGCGCTAGCTGCAATCCGATGGAGGTATTCGTGACTAGCCGTCCCAGGTTTCCCATGGCTGTCTCCACAGCTCTGGGGTGTTATTGGCCCGATAAAGGACACGAGAGCGAACTACAGGTGCGAGCAATATCACAAAAACCTCTCCGTCGATCAATGCGGGATCTGCATCTCCGGTCCGCAAACGGTCGGGTGGGTCTAAAAATCGCGCTATTGAATACCTGTACCACTTGTACAGTGACGCAGCAAATGTTTTAACACCCCTCTGAATTTTTAGATTCTGCCGGTGAAAAATTCAATTTTTTTCAACATCGTTTAACTTGTTTCTTAATGAAACACTTAGCCTTTGTGTATTGAATTATATTATACCTTCTATGAAAAACACTTACTGAAGCAAGAATGTTTAAAAGTAAGATATCATAAACTTGCTCTTCGGTTTACAATAGGCGGTCTCAAAAGCGGTCTGTCCAAGGGTGTTAAAACATTTGCTGCGTCACTGTACGTGTAATATCGCCGATACGATTAATTAATCGCCCATGGTTTTATGTCAATACCGGTCATTGCGCTCTGACGTGACGGTAAATCCCCACGGCCGTATCAAAGCTCCGAATCTCCCGGATGGTCCCAATGACCGTGCTCTGCACATGCTGGCCCCATCGCCTAACGTTCGCGCTCCTCTTCAGGACTCAGGATTCTTCCCCATTGTTCGTGTGCCCCGACTGAAGTGCAAACGTACCAGCAATGGCCCGTCCAACACCATATTCTCGACCACAGGCTCCCAGCATTGGCTTCAGGAACTCTATCGGCTCCACCCATGTTCAGCCCTCACGCTTGTCTACCACAGTCCAATTATGCCATGATTGCCCTCAACGAGGATCAGGCTTTCTACGGGGTCCCTTCAGATCGAATCTCGCCAGTGTCATATGACATGGAAATGTCTCTTGTGTAAAAGTGGAACCACCTCTGAATGGTCTGGGCGCCACCTGCTGGATTTTGATGGACAATCAATCCCGTGCAGGTTAGGCTCGGCATATCAAGAACGAGGAGACGATGGTTTAGTTTCATTGACTTCGTGCAGGCACTCTACTAACAATCTAAATATTTCAACGCAGAAATCAAGAATGTAGTCTGATTCGCATAATTGAGCCATGTCTCGACTCGTCACATTATCCAGCGCCTAGACAACTATACTCCTTGTTTATCATCTACCACGATTAGAAACGAACTAAAGGCGCAAAGAGACGAGGCCTGTTTAGACCTCGTAGGAACAACTTCGACCAGTTCGCCGGTTAGGTGCCCCCAAACATCGCATTATGATCCCCCTGCGAGGGCGAGATGCCTCCTGGGGTGGTTTCGGCCGAGTGGGCGGCTGACCGAACAATCGACGGAACCAACAGCAGCACCGCGGCTACTACGAACCTCGAACCGACCCACCAAAGCACCAGCAACATACTCTCAGGAGCAAGAGAGGGAAACTGCTGGCAGACTCAAGAGGCGCCGAAGAAGAACCTACCGGATCCAGGGCGTACGAGGGAGCGCGACAACGGGACACGTACCACCACCACCTGGCCAAACGGGCTCTATTATACGATAGATTCTAGAAGCTTTTGAGAATAGTGACGACTCCAGAAAGCCCCTGCACCGGGAGATTCAAGCCAAACAGGCGGGGACCTCCAGGTTCCATGCGGTCATCGCCGAGCTACGCGACGAGTTGCGCCGGGCGGATAAGAAGCACATGGAAGAGATAAAGCACTACGATGGTGCACTAGTCGGCATGCAGAGAGAACAGGAGGCAGTTATACAGATAATAGCAAGGGCAACGACCAACACGATGGAGAGTTCATACAATGGTCAATATGAAGAGTTTCTCGTGGAGCTTCAAGCCCTCTGCACCGGTGACAAGAATCCAAGTACAGGCTGAAGCTGGCTATTGATTGTGTCTGAGCCACCATGATGTCATTCAACAATCGCACAGTAAATACGAAGCTCGGGCTCCCTCATGTTCTCTTGGATTTCCGATCTGCCAATGATGAAATCGAAGCACCGGACCTCGCCGACTGGTGAAAACCAGGGAAAGACAAGCACTCCTGGAGGTATTCGTCCGCCCGTTGCGCACTATCCAGTGCGAATTGACGGGGGACGGGCCGGAGCTGGAGATGCTTCCGATGGAAGGGATTACTTCGAGTCAGCCCCTGACGAGGACGGCTTCGTGGAAAGCGCCTGGACCTGACCAACTGCCGGTGATAGTGTGGCAACAGTTATGGTCTACCGTGAAATCTATGTTTTCAAAATTTGTCAAGCATCCCTCCAACTCGGCTACTTTTCTAGCCCCTGCAAAATGGCCAAGATTGCAGGGCAGCCCAAGGGTAGGTGAGACCCTTCGGTACCAAATTTATACCGCCCCTCGCTGGCGCCGGAGAGCCACCGGAAGAGGCCCCAGCCCTGGTGGAAAAGCATCAGCTACTGCTCCCGAATCACTTCGGAACGCGGCGGAGGCGATCTTCTGGTTATGCGCTCAACATCCTAAGAGAAAAGGTACACGATGCGTGGCGTGAGGGCGAAGTCCTCAGCCTGGCGAACATCGATGTCAAGAGGGCTTGTAACGGTGTGGATCGGGGTGTTCTGTTGCGGAGGTGGTGAGAACGAAGAATCCCCGAGGTCCTAATCCGATGGGTCAGCAATTTCAGCTCCTCGTGACGGCCGTCGATCGTCTTGGAAGTCTTGGACATGTGCCAACCCGAGAAAATGGCCATCAAGCACGCGGGCGTGCCGCAAGGCTCGCCGCTCTCTTCTATTCTCTTCTTGTTCCTGAATGCAAATCCCGTTGATGCCTCCATCACTAGAAGAAAGGGAGCAATCGCTTTCGTCGTCGATTATACACGGCGGACTGTAGGCTCGTCTGCTAAGGCGAATACAACCATACTCCAGCAGAAGGTCATCCCACGAGCGTTAGAATGGGCGGTGCAGGCCAGCGCAGCCTTCGAGGCAGCGAGGACATTGTTCATCTACTTCTCGAGGAACCAGCGACTGTGCCAACTTTCCGCGGTTCCGTGTCACATGAATGGAGCGACTGTTGCCCCGGCATCAAGGTTCTCGGCGTGATACTCAACCAAGACTTGTAGTTTAAATCACGTATCTGAAAGGCTGCGAACAAAGGAACGAAAGCTATCCTTGCATTAAGACGATTGCGCGGGTTACCTTCACCGGTAGCTCGCCAGCTCTTCACTTCCACAATTGCATCAAATATTGACTATGCAGCGTCCGCGTGGTGCCCTATAAACTCTGCTGTCCTGCTCTCGCTTGCGAAACTGCATCTTCAAGGCGGATGGGATCTTAAATTAGGATCACGGAAGCAACCAGCCAACTGTGGGTGAACGGGGATAGGGTCAGCCTGAAGCCACCAACTGATGAAGACCGCGAGAATACTACACGAGCACATACCCTCGCATGCGAAGCAACAGAAGTGAACGGTGTGGTTAATCGCCTGCCTTGGGTGCGAGTCCAGCTCCCAGCGTCGGCGTTACGGGCTTAAACAGCGCAGGAATAACAACTTCCAACAGTCTACCACGGTCCAGAGTACGCGCCAGCTGGATTCGTCTCTCCCAGGACCCCACACGAAGATGCTGTATGATAGCCCGGATCGGGAGAAAGCATTTGAATACTCTTTGGTTGAAATGCCTCCGTACGCGCCCGAGGGTAATCTATGACGGAATCAAGTTTGTCGATATGATTATACCCAACGCGAGCTAGATTGCTGACGAAGCGGCCATAGGCGCGTTCAAGCGCAGCAAAACATCTAACGTCAAGCGGTTGTATAGATGCGACGTATGTGCACGCATACAAAGCGGTATAATGTCTTCTGCGTACATTCGATCCAATTAAGGCGTAAGATAGCTACCATGGCCGTCAAGAACCAATGGCCGATATCTACCTCGTACGCGCGAATTCGTTAAATGAATGATAGCTTTTGTAGCCAACGAAGGCTAAACTCATCGGTAGTCCAGCTGTTACTCGAGACCTCGATACGTCAATCTCCTGGAAGGTTATCAAACCAACCCTCGATATAAACTTAGCCCTTGAATACCACGCATGGAGGTAGCGAAAACCCATCAGCACAAATTACTTCGATCGCAGTAACCCATTCGAAATTTCCATGTTGCAAAACTGATCGCTGACTGTTGATATAAGGCCGATCGCTAATCCAGTCTCATCGAAGTTGTAGATACCCTCCTGTTGTATACCGTTCTCATTGATCACGCGTTGAACGGTAGTAAACCGCTCTCGTACGAATTTAGGGTCTTCATTTAGGGCGCACCGGTAGTTGTAGCTCTCAAAAAGCGTGTACGAAGCTCATCGCGACGGCCAACAAAGGTCATGATGGACATTCATCGCTAACCCCCCGTAGTCGTGAAGCCGCGCTATCTGAGTAGATCCGCATGTATCCATAGTAATTGAAACTGCGACGGGATCGCGAGAAAACAGTGAGAAAAGGGAGAAGTGAAAAAGATGTGGACTCTATATGTAGAGATGAAAGAGGAGAATGGTAATGGAAGAGGAAGGAGGTGTGATAGAAGGCTATCGAAGGTAACGGGCCACATCGCCGGATAGGGAGTCATGAGTGGTTAACCGCCACAGCCTATGTACACAATCCATATGCTACTAGCATGGTGACAAGAGCCCATAATCCTAAGCGATGCATATACATGAGTACACAATAACCCCTTCGTAACACCTCTGCTCCTCTCTCATCCACTTCCTTTAACGTCGTTCCTAAGACTGAACTGTAAATGTGTATGCTTCTCCGGCCTTGGCGATGGTTTGCTGATAGGCTTCGTGTTGTGACAATCCAAGATTCCCGGAGGCTACAACCTTCTTCGATAAACTGTCAATGACAGTCGCGATGACGGGGTATCCATTATCGTTGAAGATCGAGACGTAGACGTCACCAGAGGTATTGATAATAAAATTGAACACCACGCCATACCATGTGCAGCTGTACGAATTTCCAAGCTTGGAACCAAGTCTCCATATCCCTGCCTCAGTGACCCTAGGAACCAGTTTTGATTCACCACTAAGTCATGGTTCGTTAGTCTAGAAACACACACTTTGCAAGACAGACTCACACTAAATTTCCAGCAGTATCAGGGGTTTCCAAATCGCGAGTCTCCAGATCGCGAGCCTTCTTTGACTGCGTAACGGGAAGCTCACAATAAGTGTAGGTGGGATTATACAGACATTGGGAGCATAGGGCTTGCTCGCGTGAAGAGGTAGTAGCCGTGTCACGGGACGACCCCCAACCCTCCGGGTAGGGGGTGTCCCACAGCCATAATGCAATTAACAGCCATAATGCAAATTTTCAATTTCTTCAACTTCTAGCTCACTTTTTAGACGTATAAGGTCCAGAATCCATGAAATAAAGCCCATCAATAGCCTCATTAGCCAATAATGTATCAACCTCCTCATTTTCAAGTGTTTCCTCCAATTGGTGTGTACTCTTTCTTGGCAAAAACGTTTTCTTGAAATATCTAGCCAATCAGAGGTCTCACAGCCTCGTGAATTAGTTCATCGTAATCGTAACCTCAAGCGCTACGACCTGATACCCTTTTTATAGGGGAGATGGCAGCGATGGTTGGGACGGGTGCGAACGCACAGATTTTGCCCCCTGACAGGAGAGGAACACCAAAAACCACGGCCCTCGCGGATCCGCCCCGATCCATGGACGACATCGCGGAAGGGGCCCGCAGGGTGCTCAACCACATCGAAAACAATGGCACGGAGGACCGATATGTCACTGGGTATATTCGCGCCGTCCGCCAGTACGCACTCAACGCCCAACGGGGAGACGGCCAGGGGATGGCCAAGGTGCTCGAGGCGTTGACCAAAATCAACATCGACACCGAACGTCTGAACCAGCGAATGGATACCATTGAAAAGACAACGAGCACATTATCGACGGCACTATCTACCCCCGCGGCGAACTCTGCGGCAGCGTGGCGCAACTTCCGGGCCAAAGAATGGCAGCGCGACTTGGCTACGGCTGCGGCTCCTATCACCCGGAGCGGCGGCACATCGTCACCAGGAGTACCGGAAATGGAACTTCGCGAGGACCGAGAGGTCATCGTCAAGGTCGGAATGAACCGCGAGCAAATCCGTGGATTGACACCAAAAGATTTGGTCGAGAGGGCTGAACGACAGAGGGTATCAAATGCCCGTCAGAAGAATTCAGGGGTACTGGCCGGACAGGCTTTCTTTGTCGCTGCTCGAAAATTGCCGTCGGGGGATGTGGCAATGATCGCCAACAGTGCGGCAGGGGCAGAGGTCCTCCGCAAACATGCTGCGTGGCTGAGAGCCTTTGGACCAGGCTCGGTGGTCCAAGAACCGTCATGGGGAGTGGTGGCGTACCATATTCCCGTGAGGTCCATGAAGGTTACTCCGGAGACGATGGCTGACGTTGCGGCTGAGCTGCTCAGGCAGAACAACTGGGGCGAAGGCGCTAAGATTCAGTATCTAGGATGGATGACCCGTCCGGGTGAGAGGGCGGAGGGCTCCATCCTGATCGAGTTCACCAGCCCAGTCGTGGCTAATCGCGCGATCATCTCGGAAGTCGTGTGGGGGAAGCAAATTCACAATGCATCACGATTCTGTCGTGAGGGGCGGATAAAGCTATGCAGAAAATGCCAAAAGCCGGGGCATATCCAGTCACACTGTTCCAACTTATTCAAATGCGGTCACTGCGCCAACGGACACCCGACCTGGGAGTGTCCGTCGACGAAGGGGCAAGCGATACCAGTCAAGTGCGCCAACTGTGGTGAAGGGCATCACCCTACAAGTCGGGAATGTCCGGTGAAGGTTGCAGCGATGAACGAAGCCAAGCAAGCGCTGGCCAACTGCCCTGCATATCACCGCGTTCCTCTGCACCTCCGAGTGACGGCAAGCACTGGCAAAGAAGCAACTTCGACCAGGGCAGACCCCATGGCCACGAATGGACTCGAAGCGTCGATACACGCTCCAGAGGAGCAACGGGGGGAAGAGCCCCGGCGGAACCCCCAGGATGCTGTAATCGACGTGGAGGCTGCAGCAATAGAAGTAGAAACATCACCAGAGGAAAACACTGAGCCTATTCAGCCTACTCAGCTCAAAAGAGGTCCTGGTCGCCCAAAAGGCTCAAGAACGAGGCCAAAGAATCCGAAACCAGCAATGATACCACTAGCATGCCAAGGGTCAACAAGGCTCCAAGCGGCCTCGAAAAGGCGCCGCACAGGCGAGCCGGACGACACCATGGACGAGCAACCAGACGACAATGAATGGCTCAGCATTCAACCCACTCCGGCCGATCTCCCTCAACCTGACACTCCGCAGGATAGCCGGGAACACCGACTTACCCAATTCATTAACGAGGTCACCTCTGTCAACATGGCCGGTAACACGTCCGAGCCTGATGACGAGGACGAACTGGACCCGGAGAGCCCCGAATACCGCAAATTGGTGGTTCTGAAATACAAGCAGCGACAAGCGATACCAATCGGATCTTCTCCGCCGATTTTTACGACGGATGCACCAACAATCGAAGACCCAAATGATGAAGTATGGCACGAGGCCAGCGAACGAAGCGATGACGAACAAACTCATCAATGAAATCGTTTGAGATTCTTCAATACAACGTACACGAATCGTGGCCAGTGATGGCAACGTTCCTCAGAGACAGAAATGTCCTCGCGGCGGACGTCGTCGCGGTGCAGGAGCCATGGAAGAACGAAATGCAACACACAACACACCAACCAGCGACGGCAACATTCCAGCTAATTTACCCACCAAAAGCAGCTGCCGACGGAACAACCCAAGGCCAGGACAATCAAGTCCAAGCCTCGGATCTCTCCCAACCGGGCGTATGCCTGTTTGTGTCTAAAAGGCTTGACCCGAGCACTTGGTCGTGTCAACTCGTCTCACAGGACTACCAGTTACTGAAACTTAGAAAGGCTCATCAGGGCAGAGACTGGACAGATCTCTTCATACACAACATATACAATAGGCCGGGCAGCAATACTCTTAGACATCTGAGAAATGAGCTGTCAAAACGACCTCATGGAGAACACATCATCCTTGGAGATATGAACGCGCATCACCCGAGATGGGGAGGAACAGGGACCAGGGCCGATCAGGAGGCCGAGCAACTCCTAGAAATTGCCAATGAATGGGGACTCGAGTTGACGACCCAACAAGGCAGACCTACCTGGTCTCGAAACGATCAGTCGTCGGTGATTGACCTCACCTTCATCACATTCAACCTGGTCAACAGGCTTATCAATTGCGAGAGGGCGGATGACATCGAGCACGCATCCGACCATTTCCCGATCAGGACTGTGCTTGATATTATTACACCCATTGCTGTACAACAGAAGAGAAGAAACTGGAACGCAACTGATGACCAGAAACTCATCCAGAAGATCGAAGGAGGTCTACAGGCAGGAGGCCTATACCAGGCAGATCTGCAGAGGATAGAAGCCAAATGCCAGGAGCTAATGGGTGTGATCCAGTCAGCAATCGAGGAATCAACCCCATGGGCAAAACCATCCGCGTGGTCGAACCCCGACTTTGACGACGAGTGTAAAGTTGCGGTCAAAGAAGTTCGTCGCCTCCGTCGCAGACATACGAGAACCAAAGACCCCTACGACTGGATGTGCTACTCGGAAGCACGCAACAAGAAAACGCGACTCGTCAAGAAAACATTGTCAAGAGCGCACCGGCGCCGAGTCCAGCAAGTCGTTGAAGATGGCCCACAGGGTATGTGGCGATTGGCTAAATGGGCAAGAAACCGAGACGGGGCATATGAGAAGGGTATCACCCCTTCGCTGAAAATACAGGATCCCCAAATGCCTGGAACTCTCGCAGAAACAGTTGAGCAAAAGGCAGAGGCATTCCGGACTGCCTTCTTCCCAAAACCACCGCCGGCCGATCTATCCGACACAGACTCATTCCTGTACCCACAGCAAATCGAGTTTCCAGCAGTCACCGCTCAAGAGATACAGGAGGCGGTGCGAGGAGCGAAAGCAGGGAAAGCACCCGGAGAAGACGGTATACCAAACTCTCTCTGGCACAAGCTTATCGAGATACCGGTGGTTCTAGCAACAGTGGTCCAGTTATTCAACGCATGCATAAACACGGGATACAACCCGTCACATTTCCAGCGCTCAATCACGGTGGTGCTCCGGAAGCAAGGCAAAAGTGACTACCAGCTCGCAAAATCCTACAGACCCGTCGCGTTGCTGAACACGCTCGGAAAGTTTCTGGAGGCAGTTGTCGCGCGACGGATCAGCTACGCAGCAGAAACCAACGGTTTACTCCCACGAACCCATCTAGGCGGACGAAAGGGTATATCCACCGATCATGCTATCCACATTATCATCGACCGAATCAAAACTGCATGGGGAAAGGGCAAGCCAGTGGTATCTCTGCTGATGCTGGACGTGTCCGGAGCGTACGACAATGTCTCCCATGAACGTCTACTACACAACCTCAAGAAACGACGTCTGGGACACTTCGTTCCCTGGGTGAGGGCCTTCTTGACCAACCGAAGCACACGGATCCGCATGCCCGAGGGCACATCTGATCGAATCCCGACACCTACAGGCATCCCTCAAGGATCACCGATCTCACCCATTCTATATCTCATCTACAACGCAGACCTCGTTGAGAACTGCGGTAACGGTGTGACTAGCAACGGGTGGGTCGACGATGTTTGCTTCATGACAAAGGGAGACAGCGAACGCGAAACCATCAAGAAACTCAGAGCGGCATGCCGCAAAGCCGACCAATGGGCCGAGAAACATGCATCAGTTTTTGACCCGAAGAAGTATGCACTCGTGCATTTTGTAAACACCAGGGAAGTCGACCCACAATACACATCGCTTTCTCTACGAGGACACACGGTGACAGCGACGAGGACGGCTGAGCGGTACCTAGGCTATTGGCTGGATCCGGGTCTGGAATTCCACCATCACCGCGAGAAAGCGGTGGCCAAGGCCGGTGTCTCTCTCCACGCACTACGAAGCCTGGCAGGATCAACGTGGGGAGCCTCACTCTATGCAATGCGAAAGATCTACCAAGCGGTGATAATCCCGCAGATGCTCTTTGGGGTTTCCGCGTGGTATCAACCTATGCTCATCAGTAAATACAAGGCACGCACAATCAGTAAGCCGTTCGCAGCAATACAAAAACAGGCAGCATGCCTCATTAGCGGAGCTTTCAAAACTACGGCAGCAGAGGCACTGAATGCAGAGCTTCACCTACCGCCTATTTCTGTTCACATGAATCGACTGGTGAAAGAAACGGCCCTTCGACTACGGACACGACCAAAGTTCGCTGTCCCGCCAACGATGTTACGTCGACGACCGGCAGATGAGAGAGACTGGGCTGGATGGTCACCGATGGAGGCGCAAGCTTGGAAGGCGGGCGGATGTCTTATGGCTCCCCCGGATACTTTGACGAGGAAATGGGAGAGTCGAAAGGCATTCGTCCTGGCACCATGGCAAGCGCCACCAGAGGTAATCATCGAGGAAAGAGAAGCTGCGGTGAACAATCACAACCAGATCCTGATGAAAGACCCAAGAGAAAGACCCTTGATTCTGTACACCGACGGGAGCGGAATTGATGGAAGGATCGGAGCGGCAGCGGGCGTGGACCTTGAGGATCAACATGCTCATAGCCAGATGGGAGATGATAATACGTCCACCGTATATGCGGCAGAGCTTCGAGCCATTGAGATGGCACTTGAAATGGTTCTGGAAAGCACAGAGCCATGGGCTAAGCAGGCGAAAAACGGGGTAGTCATCTTTGTAGACAGCCAAGCAGCGCTGAAGGCGCTGAGACGACCGCGGATGCCGTCAGGACAGGTCTATCTAGCAGGATGCCTCAACCTGATCCGACAACTTGCGGGCAGAAGCATTCGGACAGAACTCAGATGGATTCCTGCGCACCAAGGAGTCATTGGCAACGAGATCGTGGACCAACACGCAAAAGAAGCGGCGCAGGAACAGGACGGGCTGCATAACCCCCTCAACCGAGACATATGTCTCGCAGCCGCAGCGAGACGACGAATTCGCAGAGAAGCGAAGCTGGAGTGGGACAGAACGTGGGCCAAGGAAGCGACCAGTCGTCCGACGAAACGCTTGATTGAAGCACCAACAAAGAAGACGCTGGAATACTGGACGGGCTTGCGCAAAGCGACGACATCGATTCTGATGCAGCTTAGAACTGGGCGAATTGGCCTAGGGGCTTACCTGAATCGTATCAACCGACGCGAAACAGCGCGGTGTGATTGCGATCTTGGCAGCCAAACAGTAACACACGTCCTACTGGAATGCCCCTTGCACCAGGACGAGCGAGACTGGATGAGAAGCGCTCTCTCATACCAGGGAGTCGCTCTCCACCGGGACGAACTCCTCACACGACCGGAGGCCCGCACAGTTGTGGCCGAATTCATGGTCAAGACCGGCCTCCTAGGCCAATTTCAGACAGTCGACCCTACGGCTCTGGGCGAGGAAGGGGACGACAAAGGAGCGGAGACAATGATCCCTTAGACAGTGTGACGGAAGAAGAAGGATGGCGCCCATTAGGAGTGCAGTGCCAGGTCCACTGTACTCCCTTGATCCAAGCGAGCGCGCAAGCGGCAGCCGACAAGACTGGACAGTTGGAGAGAAGAGGGCGTGGGAATGGTGTGTTGAAGCGGGGCCCTGGTCCTACCCGCGACCAGGGGTAAATGACGTTCATTTTGGCTTTGTGTTTATCATGTTTGCATCCGTGCATTTCTTTTGTTTAGTCTACGTCTTTCGATTCGAGGGCGATTGATCAGAAATTCGCAAGGCGAGTTCCCTGACGGTCGCCCAGTGGGCTGGCGACCACCTTCCAGCTGTCGGCAGGCCTGACAGCACTCCCGCATAGCAGCATATATATAGAGCGAGCTACATCGGGCAAATGAATACATCATCATCATCATGCGTCGTGTGCTGTGCTCTTCAGTGCTTAACGTTCCACTTTTGGAATCAAGACGGAAGGTTTTCACCACAGCTTTAACCCCATCGATATTTTTTGGACGCTGGGAAATTACCGCGGGTGAGAGCAGAGATTTGCGTGTCAATTTGATTAGTCGATACGCGTCCCTCAAATTGGCGAAGAAAGACCAGGAATCCTTGAGATCCCAAAGCAACTCTGCGCTTCTCCAATCTTCTCAATGTCAGGCCAGGATGGAATATTCTAACTTGTCGGGGTATGCATACCGTGTCTTGTCCCGGGTTCTGGCTCTTCCAAAGTTCCTGAGGTCATGTTTCTTGCTATAAACAATGCCTCAAACACAAGAGAAAGATTGAGAGCTTTTGATGATATATAATTAAAGAAATGGGAAATTGGATGGTTATATACATAACGAGGGATATCCTCCTCATTTTCCGTGAAGTCTCCCTGGGAGTTAGTAGTGGGAGTTCTGGGGGCTAAATCAACGCGTTGAATCGTATTATTAACGAGCGTCATCCAGATATGCCTGTACAATCGGTATACAGCTTCTATCTGATGACCGTGCAGGGTCGAACTTAGCCGATGTTCAACATTCACAGAATAATGAGGCATCGAGTCATCTCATCAATTTTCTTGCTGTCATAACCATCACAGCGCAATCCGCTCTGATTCATTTTTGTCTTTTTGACCCCTCAACTTTCACTTCGAAGGACGTATAGTGGCAAATGGTGCTACGAAGGGGTGAAATCCATTGTTATTGAAGCTAGCGGTGTAACACAAATTTGCTTTGGGATTTGTCTTTACAGCTGCAGCTGAGCTGCTACAATAGCCGCTGACCCAACAAGTTTCTCGGAGTCAGAAATTCGATTACTAAGCGAGTATATCTAGACCGGCCGCACGTGGCCACCATGAGGCTTTTGGACTCTCAGTGTAACACAGCGCTCGTCTGAACATCCCATCATCACCATCACGAAACCGGTCACGTTCCTGTTAACGGTTCCATCAGTGCTAGGAACTCATCTCTTGACCCTAGGAGTTCGCTTGCTCCCGGAAGCCTCTGAAACGTTTCTGAGAGCGAAGAAGCAGCTTCTAGGAGCCACGTAGCCCCCAGGAAACCCGATGTAGCTTCTGGGGTCTGCTATCCCCACCACGGGGAATCAAAGCCGCGTTCCTGTTGACAACTGGTTGATTCCTGGAGGCGTAGGTGTGCCTTCTGGGAGTGGTCCAATGACGCAAATTTGTGAGCAGGGTTGGTGAAGGTGTTTTGTGAGAGCTTTCCGCGGTCTCGGAAGGCAGGTTATTGACTCTAGGACCCTAAAGTAAGCTCCCAGGGGCTCCACAGCTCCCAGATCTGGTCAATGTATTCCAGAGCCAGTTTCGTATTCAGTCAGGAACGTAAAGTGAAGATCCCAGGGCTAGATCTCATTTTCCTAGAAATAGAAATAGCCCCAGGATCTCAAGAGTATTTCCTAGGGGATAAACAGCTCCTAGAAATGCTTTTGAGGTTCCCAGGGCCAACATATTGGTGCCCAGAGTAAGTTAACAAGCACGAGAGTTTGTCAGTCTTTTGCCTGTGGCTTTTCTGCCAACAATCCCCGCCTTCACGCGACACGGCTCCACTGAGACGAATCCTTCTCTGTTTCTTTGGTCACCGCCGTTAGGTATCATGAAAACAGAACTTTTATCTACCACTACAGTTTCGAGCTCAGACATTTTCGGAATCAGCGAAGCAGTCAATAGCTACTGGCTATGGTGTATTGGTGTCCAGCACTTACGAGATGAAACGGTCGCGTTGTACTTAGGAGTTTAACCATCCGTATTTCATTTCTTGCTAATTTGCTTCAAAATTCTATATCACGGCTATAACGGCTATAACCTCTGTTGCTGATCACGATGCCGAGTGTCTGGTCACGTGTACTCGCGTGTGATTCACTCGCTTTTCGCATTTTCCGTCAAACTCGGCTGTAACCTGTGATCACCTACGCTGAGTGGAATTGAGTCGGGCCGATCGGCGAAGCGGTGCAGCGGTGGAAGGTTGTCGCACTAAATGAGTTCCTGCTAGTCTGGCTGAGCGACGGGGCCCACCATTGGGAGATGGATCGCTTGCCGTGTGGACGGAATGTGTCTCGGCATCCGACGAGGGGACTCGTAAGGGGCGAAGGATGGCGTCTAGGGCTCCTTCTTTCGGCTGTGGTCATCAGTATCTTGGTCGTCTCAGAAATAAGGTCATCCACACTTACCACACACAGCATGACGTGCCAAACCCTGTATCTCGCTTTTCCAACCATTCTTCCGTGCACGATAGATGACAGAGCGATGTGCACTGACCGCAGTGCAAGACCACGCTCTCGTCCGCATGGTCTTCATCCTCAGTCTGGCAGAACACACAGTAGATGCTGTCGACGTGGACGCTGTCGACCGCTTGGCTCGGCCTGAGACTCTGCAGCGTCAAGTCTTGGACACCCGCCCGGATATTAGTTGCCGATGAGAGGATGGCTGGTCGGGTCGGCGAAACGCGCCATGGAACATTGTTCGTCCGCAGCGTTGCAGAAGTCACAAATGGATTGAATGGCTGCACTGGCTCGGGGTTGGTTGACAGGGGCACCGGTGGTGGTGATGACCGGGTGTTGTCTGATGCAGGGCGTCGCCTGGAGGCTAACGATGTCTGACGCTGGCCCCGATGTACAATGACTGACGGAGAAGCCATTCTGGAGCCATGTGGTACTCGCGCCTGGTTGCGGACGGCGGCTTCATACCACTGCTGGCCAACTTGGTCGGCCTGCCATTGCCGGTGCCATCTCGCGCAGAGGAAGTCTCTGGCGACATCACAGAGCTTGGACTGCAACGATGACAAGTCAAATGGCTCTCTGGCGAGAGTGGTCAACTTTTGATGGCCGATCTTGGTGTCTTCAACTTTGATCGAGTTTTTGCACGGCTCGCCTTTTTTCGTCGTCCCGCAACAAGAGCCAGGACCGCCATTGGGGCGGACCTCTATCTCACAAACAAGAAACGGATTCCAAGGCAGCATGGTAGTTATTGAGGTGGTCGTCAAAGGCAGAAAATGCTTCGGATTGTGGTGGTGTTGGGCAATCCACTGCGGCGTTCCCTCGCCAGCTTTATATGCCATCGCCGTGGGCTCCTTACCTACATGGCTGCGTGGCTGGCATGGAACACTTCCTTGAAACAGTCGGTATGTCGAAGAATGCATTCACACGCAGTATGCGCCACTATACGGCCAATCAGTGGCCTGCGAGAGGGGATATCATTTCAGATCACTGCTGCCCAAATCAGCTGCACTTATTGCTGTAGACCGCGGTGACCATGCATTGGCGAACAGACTGGCTACTGCGGTAGGCAGCGAAGTCGACAAATGCTGCGTTAAATTCTGCGTTGCCTATGGAATTTCGAAGTGCGTGGTAGGTTGTGATTTATTCTTATGGCGCTAGATGCGCGATGTGGGTACGTAGAGATAAATTCGGTTCCCAGGCCATCAACACACTACCAGGAACAGTGTTGTCAAGGCATCGATGCTGCTGTGCGACTGCTACACCCCTCTGTGAAGCGACGGAGGACACTCCTAGCTGACCAGAGAATTTAGCTGCGGCGACTATATAAAGCCCTCCGCGCCACTTCGAATGAACTTCCTCACCTCGACCGCATCTGCCCTCATCCTCAACTACTCTCATCCTCATCTACCTTCATCCTCATCTACCTTCATCCTCATATACGTTGTATTTGTCGCATAGCTCCTGTCTGCTGTTCAAACATGGTTTGTATACTTGTCTTTGTTACTGAAGGTATTGATAAGATAATTAATCGCAGCCAAATATCAGAAGCCTCCCTACCAAGCTTTTGCTGGGTATTGCGGCGCATTTGGATGGCATTGCGTTATTTGCCCTCGCAAGATCGTGCCCAAACCTTTATTTCAGACTGCAGCCCAGCATCTGGAAATACAATCAAGTTCCAGAATAGCAATCTGTTGCATCTGGCCGCCCAAACCAACAACGCCGATCTTGCGGAGGTTTTGCTTCAGTACAACGCCAACGTCAATGCCTTCTACCGTGGAAAAACACCTTTGATGATAGCCTTGAAACACTCTTCCACGTCTGTGTGTAAGTTCTTGCTGAAAAGTCAAGAGCTAGACGTCAACATCCAAAATTCCGCGCACGATAGTGCTTTGTGGTACACCGTCCACTACGGAAGCTTTTCCAATTTGAAGTGTTTATTGGAGCGACCCAATTTGAAGCTTGATTTGAAACACAGAAAGGGCCGAACGGCGCTCCATCAAGCAGTTCTATGGGGGAAATTAGGTTTCGTGCATTTACTACTCTCGACAGGCTTTGATCCTAATCTGGAGGACGATTCAGGCCACTCGCCATTGGCCTGGGCGTGCCGTTTTGATAGACCATTGATGAAAAGGATGTTCTCGTGCGAGCATGACTCGAGATTATTACTCAGTCCTCACATAACATATGATACTGGACTGCCACTCCATCAAGCAGTGTCATATTGGTCACCCGACGCCGTCAAACTCCTTCTTAAAGGAAAGCCTCTACATCTGAACGTTCAGGACCAGTATGGTGATACACCGCTCCATCTCGCCGTTAAAAGCAGACGTCTGGAAGTGGACACATTGCTCCTGAATCGCCCACGACCAACGTGAACTGCAAAGACACAGACGGTAACACGCCGCTTTGGCCGTCTACTTACTCATCTTGCGATGAGATATGAGAGAGGCTCTTGGCCGAGAAAGACATCGATATCAATTTCGTCGGGGGCCGCGGGAGACACTCGAGACCATCCACATCATTGCACCACGCCGTAACTAGACTGGACACTGTTACCCTACGGCGACTTCTTGCGACACTAGGAGTTGATGTGAATATTTGCGTTGCAGGCCAGTCCCTGCTTTACGCCGCTGCTGCACACGGAGGTGTCAACACGGTGGCGATGCTGTTGAAAGTAGAGGAGGTGGACATTAATGGACGGGGATTGGCAGATCCACCCATTTGTCGAGCGGCCGCACGAGGCCACCTTGATGTGGTCGGACTCTTAGTGCAACAAGGCGCACGTCTGAAGATCAATGAACTATCGCTAGTTACGACACCGCACTTTGCATTGTCGTCCGTGATGGGGACTTGGAGATGGTCTGGGTTCTGCTTCGCCATGACCAGATTGATGTCAACCTCACGAATCGGTGGCTCGAGGACATTTTGATATTGGCAGCCAAAGGTGGGCATCTTTCAATTGTTAATGAATTGTTATGTGATCGCAGACAGAAAGGTGGTAGTCTGAGGAGATCTCTGGATGCCGCAGGGGACGACTGCATCCGGAGGGCCATTCGGAGCAGGATAGAAGACCGCAACTCCCGCCAAACGTTTTTGGCGCCGTTGCCAAGAAGAAGCATGGGTGATGGTCTGTAAGAGCTAGTGGTATTCACTTTAGGTAGCTAGAGTGATATGGCACGAGATTTGCTACTCCAACATCAGTTGATAGCAATTTTTGGAATCGTATTATCGCATTCCCACGCCTCGAATGGTATGCAGTCGCAAAAACGTCACGGTAGAATTTCAACCAGCTCTACTAGCACCCAATGTATCCAGAATACACTTGCAGACTACCATTAGGTGATGGTTTCTGCAATATTTTTGTTTCAAGGTTTCATCGGTCATTCAGTTCCGCATATCACTGAGTCATTTAGGGTGAGCAATAGGTGAGATCGAGCGTCAACAGTTGAGGTAAATATTTACTGGCTCTTTGAACGCGGTCAAAATCAGGCCTGGAAGGTCACGGGTGGCAATAGATATGTGATAAGCGGTGCGAATAAGTGTATCGTTGCTCTCTTCGATAAAACGCAGGAACCTTATATTGTACTATCGTTGAGACGTATGTTTACTAGCATAAAGCTGATGTGGCTGTTAGTTAAAGTTGCTCTCTTACTGCTGTGCAATTGATCATTATGGGCTATGTGGTGAGATCCATGGGATGAAGAAAGGAAGGAAGAGAGAGAGTGGGAGTGTGTGTGTGTGTGTGCATAGATTAGAAGATTCGATGAGGTTACCTCAGCTTGGCCATCACCGTTTGCAGTCTCCGTTCCGTACAAAGCAATGTCTAGTAGATAAGGCTCCTGGCTGTGTTTCTGTGTACCAATCTAGATATCTATTGAAATGACACTCCAGGCTCATAGCGTAGTTCCTGAATTCCCCGAGGGCTCGACCATGGTAGACTGGCACGTTTGGGACTGGAGGAGCTTGGGAAGGTGACGAGGCCGATCTAGTAGCTGCAGCAAGTTCCCGTAATCGTTCCAAATTCGGGTCTGCGGCGCCATTTGGGTCTGTATTTTCGTTTTTAACAAGTGATAGGTTCAGCTGGGGCGCACGGAAAGACGGGCTGACAGCTTGCTCAGATGGTGCAGGGAGAGTATTGTTTGGAGCTTGGATAATACCAGTTTTGCTGTCCCCGTTTTGCATCGGTGCTGCAAGCCCCCTGTATTGTGCATTGACCGAGTCCTTTGCAGCAGGGCCGATAGTGGGCGAGTAATCTTTGCTGGTGGTAGCTGCGAGCCGGTTCCAAGCCACCTCAAGCGCTATCTGCTCATCAACAACTTGTTGTTGGATCTCAAGGAGCCGTCGCTGCCGCTTCAAATTTGCGAGCTGCGCCTGGGCCTCTCTAATCTCCGTGTCGAGCTCATCCGTGGGCTGAGACTGCGTAGGGTTAGGCTCGAGCATTTCGGTCAGCCGCGACCCTTGCTCTCGGATTGGCGGAGTAGCCTCGGCGGAGGAGTCGGATTTTTTGAGCTCTTTCCCTTCCAGTAACATCATCATACTGCGAGGGATTGGTATGGTTTGGGGGTTTTCTTATTTTTATTTTTTCTTCTCGTTGGCTGTGGCTTGATTCATAATGATCACGTGGTGATAAGATACACCAATGGATCACGTGGTATTGTTTCGTTGGTAACTCGGCCTGCTAAGTAACAGTTACAGTGACTGGCCATAAGTTTGGACACCCTCCTTAGACCCACTTTCATACCGCTTTCCCTTATAGCCGACACCGCCTAGAAAGACACGCTAGCTACGCGTCGCTATTTCTCGCGATTTTAGCCATTCTAGCTATTTTATAATACTATTTCATGAAGCCTGCCTTTCAAAATCTGCTATTTTTACTATGGCTCCACGCTCAGAACTTACACCTGCTTTACGTGAGAGGATCTGTGAGCTTCATACGGCTGCTCATTGGGGTTACAAACGTATCCATAAGAGATACCCCTGGATTTCACTATCGGGGATCCGGTATACGATTAAAAAAGAGCATGAAAGACGTGCCGGTGTCTCAAAGCCGCGTTCTGGCCGACCGAAGAAGCTTAATGAAGCCGATAAAGTACGCCTTTTAGACTCAATCCACGGGAACCCTCGCGTTACGCACGAAGACCTTCTTACTGAGGTCTCTTATAAAGTGAAAATAAAGTCAATTCGACGGCTTTTGAATGCTGAAAACCTCCGGAAATGGCGATGTAGCTGGCGACCTTATTTAACTGAGGAACATGCCTTTAAACGGCGTCAATGGGCTTTTCGCTATCAACACTTTACTCCCGAAGATTGGGCTCGCGTCTTTTGGTCTGATGAATGTACGGTAGAGCGTGGAATTGGTGTCCGTCGAGAATGGACATTTACTCGGCCAAAAGACCAGCCAAAACTTGGACAAGTTCAAGGCCTTCCACAACGGGGAAAGCAAGTTAAGCAGATGTTTTGGGCTGCTTTCTCGGGCGCTACCCGTCGAACTGGTTTGATTCCGCTATTCGGGGATCCGGAATCAGAGCGTGGAGGTGTGAATAGCAACGTTATCCGGGATCTATACCTCCGCATCCTACCTACCCTAATATCGAATGAAGGGTCGATTTTTCAGCACGATAATGCGCCAACACATACTGCCTACGTCGTCCGAGAAGCTCTACGGGACTTAGAGCTCGAGGTAATGGAATGGCCGCCACATTCGCCTGATTTAAATCCAATTGAGAACCTCTGGGCGTTGTTAAAGGCCGAGATCTATAAGCTTCGGCCTGATCTCATTGATATGAGGAATAATGAGCAGACAAAGGCTATTTTAATAGATACAGCACAGATTGCATGGGGCCGATTGAACCTTGAGCACCTAAAACATCTCTCTGAGACTATGCCGCATCGGGTGCAAGCTATTATTGATAGTGAGGGATGGTATACACAGTATTAGTTAAATGGCATGAGGTTTTAAAACCGGCAGAAAATTATGTAATAGGTGAGTGGGTCTAAGGAGGGTGTCCAAACTTATGGCCAGTCACTTGTAACAGTGTCGGGTACATGTAGTCCGAGATCCAAAAGATGAGCCAAGGTTGCAAAATCATGCACAACAACCTTCAGATCGTAAAACGGTCCAATTGACTATAATCGGTTAATATTTTCAGTGGGCTGTTGGCAGTTTTGTCTCCATTGGATAATAGTAATAGTGATCAAGGCGTTAGTCGGGGAGTTGATCAAGCCTCACGGCGTTGAGGTTTAGATCCCAAGTATTCATGTCCATGACCTTTGCAGACTTGAGCAAATTTGGCCAGCCACCAACGGTCGTTGCAAGCCCGTGTGACCGTGGTAAAGGGGTGGGTACAATCGTCACTGCATAATGACGGATTTCGGTGTTCTACAGGCGTCATTCCGACGCCTTTGTTCACTGACCGGATAATCAATTGGAAAGAAATGATACATACATACTGTGAGATTCACTGATGTTTTATTTGTTGGCATGGGATGCCATGAGCAGGTACAATGCGATGAGGAGCTGTCGATATATCTCATATTCATCAGCTCCCTGGTGATGAACGCTAATTGAGAATATTGAAATTACACGATGAATTTACGGGGAATCATGTATGTCAAGGCCAACAAGGTGGTTTAGGTCTGATCTCTCTTCAATGAGAGAGAGATCCTATTTAATGGAGAGCATTTCTCCTGAACTATACTCTGTATGGTAGCTTCAATGCTGATCACTAGATTCATGCTCGGCGAGGCAGGCATGAAATGCCTGGAGATGCCTGGAGAAGCCATGAATCTCAACAGAGAAGATAAATATATTTTGTTGAGATTCCTGCATGAATAAGTTAGATGGTCTCAAAAGCCGTACTTCATCCGACCAATAAGATCTCGATGACTCTGTCTTTTATTACTACCAATTTCAAGCTATTTATGCTATTCACTAATGACCAATCCGCGTATTCGGAGTATCCATTTCTCCGGTTCTCTTCCAGTATTCATGAACTTGCATTGACAGATGGTGTATACCAGATATATCAGGCATGAATCAGTTGTCACGATTTGTCCTGTATCCGGCCAATTGGAGATGTAAATGACTCTGTATTTCCATTACCCCTATTTCCTGCTATTTATGAGGTCCATTCTAGTTACATAAGCTATGCCGGTCGGATCATCTATAGACCCGGTTTCATGCAGTATTCGTACGATATTTGTGACATCAGTCAGCGTGATCCTTCCTCAAAAAGAGTATAGTTCAGGGGAAATCCTCCCATTTTAAATAGGGTCTCTTTCTCATTGAGAAAGAGACTGTTGGTATCACCAGCTAGGTACTGTACACAGTTAAGTGGACAGTGGTTATGCTTTCAAAGCAAAAGTCAATTTTGATTCATGTAAAATAGATGTGTTCCCCCAGGTCGTGGTCCAATGCCCCTGAATCCATACGGCGGGAGCCGCAGCTTAGCAAGATTACGTACAAAGTGTCTTTGCTTATTCTGACGGGAGGATATGTCCCGACAGAGACCAAGAGACTTAAACACCTCTCTGGAATAGACTGTTTGCATGCGTTATTCATCTTCTGCTAGAAGACATCGTATATTTCAACATATTTTAATCTCCCACTTTTACATTTGTTAAAGCCTCAAAATCTGACAGAGAAATATTGTACAATTTAGAATTATTATACAAAAAAAAAAAAAAAAAAAAATTCTATTGATCGTTGCGAGTTCAAAATATTTAGTTGATGTACGGCCAAACTTCAACAATGTCCGCGGGTCAGCACACGCGACCGTGACCTAATACTCCCACTCCAGTCTAGACGGACAGACGCACAGCTCACACAGCCAACTGTAAAGCGAGGCTGGGAAGACCAGTCCATGTCTCCTAGTGAAGAAATTGTAGGCGCTCTTTGACGATTCAACGTTGGGTCATTAACAGATGAGATGGTCAAACATGAATCATCGAAGATTGAATAGCTCCCAGTGTCTCAATATAGAAGACCGTGGAGGATTTGATCGTTAGCCAACGTTTCCTTAACCGATTCAGCATCACTTTTTCTCAACATAACCCCAACTCGTCTCTCTCTGTGGGCATATAAAATGGCATCAAGAATGTCGCTGCAAAAGTCGCGGTAAAAACGAAGGTATGGGTTGCAACAGGCCTCACATAGGATAGGCATCGTGTCTTTCAACGTTTGCTACCTAGCAGAGCACGTACGCGACAGGAGCCGAGAAGCCTATAAATACGTCCTCTACCCCCAGCAATTTGTTCTACAATCCTATCACTTGGCTACGCAAAGTCGAGCAGGCCTTGTGTCTTGAGGCACTCGATAAGTTCACCCCCTTCGACCCAGTACTTATTTTTCCACTGTACTGACAACTTTAGATACATCGTGGACCGGCAAGCTAGAAAGTGCCTGTGAGAGACGTGATTCCCACTAGGTCCACTATGCCACCCATGCCAGCCGATCAAAGAACAAGATTTGGGTTAGCTGGTCAAAGTGTCTATGCGAACATCTCTCTCCACCATAGCAGCCGACTCACTGTCTCGCCCTGGACCTCCCCCGATGCAAAAGAGCGACTTTTCATACAGGTATGTAAATTTCAGCACGATACTGTCCAAATTCAACTGACTTCAAAGATGATGCGAAACAACCAGATCCGTGCATTCCGTCCAATATACACCAGCGCAAAGCCACGGAGCCCTTTCCCGTGTCTTATTTCAGAACATGTGAGTCATGCATTGTCTCGCCGATCAACAAGCTAATGATGGACAGGAAACCGTTGACAGTGCACCAGAGTGAGTCCGAACCAGCACCTCGTCAGTGCTCCGCGCAAAGCCACGGCTTACACACCATTTCTGGTCCTGCCGCTTCAAACCATGCAGCATGTCCTATGTGGAATATTGTAAACCAAGGGCGCGGGCCAACAACAGCACGCATAAGCTCCAGACATTGGTTATCCACGATGAGGTGAGTGGAATATCGCGCCTCCTGCTGCGCCGGGTCCGATTATTTGTGCCAAGTCTGTGTCTCAAACACAAAACACCACTGACATCTCCATGCCGTTGTAGGAGCAGCCCATCGCCAGCATGTTGTGCCAAGCAACCTATTCCCGCCGAGTCAGATAAGACCTAGGGCACTACGGCGCGCTCCATCGTGTCTTCCGCCCCTCTCCTTACCGCCTTCACGCACCAAACGGCGGAGCCTCAACCTCTTGGCATCTACACGAAGCAGTCTCCCAGTACGACTGTACAATTCCTTGTCACAGGTGAGTTCGTCGCGCGCCTTTGCCGTCTAGGAAACTTGCCCGGTGCATCCAGCGCGGCTTCTCGAAGCGACAGCCGGAGAGTGCAACGAACATGAATACAACATGGCGTGAATGGTGACCGCATTGCTGAAGAGAATTGGAAGTGATCTAGTCGGTAAGCTGGTATGATCACGATCCTAATTGATCATCGGTCTCAAGCGTACTCTCGGCGGATTCTTCATGAACAACGTAAAGCACATTACCTCGTCCAGCTGGATCAAAACTTGCTGACTCCTGACTCGG